TACATCATGGACACATACATACAGTAATTTTTTAAAAAAGAAAATAGTGAAAAAGAGGTACAGATATATAAATTAACATGCAATGAAAGAAATAGTTAAATTTTGATAATTCTTATTATTTAATCCTTTTGTTTTCAGTTTGGTTTGGTTTGAATTTCGTTAGACAGGGTGTCCCTATGCAATCGTCTGGCTGTCCCAGAACTCACTTTGTGGATCCAGTTAGTCTTGAACTTACAGAGATCTACATGCACATGCCTCCTGAGTGCTGGGATTTAAGGTGTGCCTCACCTCAATCAGTTTACCTGTTATTTAAATGACAACAACTTCTCAGTTTGCACCTTAAAGCTTTGCTTACAGTTGTGACAGCTGACACCATTAATATCATCTTTGCAAGTGAACTAAAGAAGTGTTTAGCTAAACTGTTTTTCTATCAGATGTCAGTAGTAGAAATATATTTTTTATCTTGTTTAAATTTACACTTAAATATATTCTACAGCGTCAACCCTGAATATGAAGGGCACATGTTTAATAGTCTAAATAACATAATTATTCCTTGCACAAGTTTGCTAAAACATAATGAAGAAAACTACTGACCAAGAAGGCACTGCCTAGGGGCACAGGACATCTTATTGCCCTAGTTTATTTACATTTAGGAAATTGTACTAATAAGTGGTTTATGAGAAAAGATACATAAAAGTAGCATATACAAACAAATGTTAAGTAAATAAATAAATAGGACTCAATGGAAATCACATGCTATCTGTATTTGGGTTTGAATGAGTTATAATAATTAATATTATTCAGTAATGATATTATTTTCCATTCCATTCACAAGGAGAGCAAAAGTTGAGATGATTTCCTGGAATAAAATACTAAAGATGAAGCTGTCTTGATAGACTTCCTTTTTTTCTCCCTCATCCAATTTCATGACCAGAAGCACCCATCATATCACTTTAACAGAGGAAGGTAGACTTTAAAACTCTGGACATGAGGAATAATTGAATAGGAAGATGAATGCTGTCATTGTGAAACCTGTCCTCTAATCTCAATGTGGACTCGATTCTCACAATGTGGTGATCTTTTATATCATATAAAAGGATTCTTGTTTAATTCATCAGCATTCTGCATCAGTGCTTGTGTAATAGGCATTGGTAGCCATAATATTCTGTTTTCAATGCTATTTCTACATGTAAATAATGTGGGTTATAGATGGTGGATCATGCAGTGAATATTATGATCATCTTTAAAAGATAGTTCTGAACATTTAATAAATTGATTACTAATTTTAAGCTTCCCATAGCCATGTATGGAAATTCGAGTACCAAACCATCTCTGTTATGATCATATTAGGGTTATACCTATAGCCATTCTTGCACAGTTGTATTGCTACAGCACTGAAATTCTTACTTATCAGAGATTAATAACGTCAAGCTTTTTAATATATCATTGATTTCTTAATGGAAGTGCTCTTTTACAGTGCTTCTTTCAATGGGATTTTCACACACACACAAACACACACTTTATCATTTTATGAGTTCACAGCAACCACCCATGGATATAAAACTGCTTTTAATAATCCCTTGCAAAGTCTAAGCCCATCTTACATATTGCTTTGTCATTTTCCATCCAGCTCAGGACTCAGTATTCTTAAGAAAATGCAGACGTTGGCAGGAAGACAAACAAATTAGTCACAATGGCTTGGACTCTCCCAGAAAGTCTGACATTGTTACCACAATGGGATCAAATCTAATTTGGCCTACAAAGTGACCAGTACAGAAGAAAATGCACAACTTTCTCAAGCTTGACATGTCTGTTTCATTTATTTATTTAGATGGCTGGATGGTTGTTCATGGTGTCACTCACTCAGTAATAAAACCTTGTTGACTCCATGGGCTCTACCTGAGAAACAACATACATGGACCCTCTACAGTTCTAACAAGAGATGTGTGTGCCCATGTTCTCTGCTTTTCCTCTATGTAGAGATAGAGATTCAGGTTTTCGCTTTGAAGAAGGAAGACATTGGAGGGGTGAGAGAGGCAGACTTCCATATCTTACATTTTTCCCTCACCACGCATGTCTGTGTAAGACTTCAGGATTTCATAAGGAAAGCCAGGAAGCTACTTATATTTTCTTTCTGCCAAAACTCATTCGATGGAGTGAACGTGGAAGGAAATAAATGATGGATGAGATATATATCAGGAAAATTGCATTGTTTCAAATATATTATCTTTATGAAATGTGCAGCATAATATACAAGTTTAATTTTATTTTTACATTTGTTTAATATTCTTTAATAACATGGAGGATAATACAACAAAATGTTTTTTTTTGTTTTCTGAGATTTATGATACCTCAGTATATTTTATTTTTTATTTTACGTAAGATTTTTTATTAGAATTAGGAACATGGATGCTTCAAATGTCAATCCAGGCTCCCCCTTTCTCCGTCCACCAACCCCACCCCCACCCCCCAATCCCAGCCCAAACCCCACATCATTCCCCAGGGAGGGTGAGGCCCTCCTTGTGGGGATCTCCAGAGTCTGTCATTTCATCCAGGGCAGGACCTAGGACCTTCCCCATGTGTCCAGGCTTAGAGAGCATCCCAAAGTTCATTTGTATGCTATGCTGAACACTAGTGTACTACCCAATGCCCCAGAGATTTCTGAGGCATCCTCACTGACACTACATTCACTGAGTCTGGGGTTCAAGAGCTCCCCCTTGTCCGGTCAGCTGCCTTTGTGGGTTTCACCAGCATGGTCTTGACCACCTTTTTTTTAACAACCATATTTTTATTTTTCTCCCTCACCCTCTTTTATGAATTAACTAATTTATATTTTACATACCCAGACAGTTCTCCCTCCATCCCCACCATCTCTACCTTCTACCCACCTCACCTTCCATATGCTACTCAGAGAGGATAAGGCCTCCCATAGGTAGTCAAAAAAGTCTGCCCCATAACCATGGTGAGGCAGGACTAAGACCATCCCCCGCATCTAAGCTGAGCAAGGTGTCTCTTCATAGGAAGTGGACTCCATAAAGGAAGTTCATACACTAGGGATAGATCTTGATCTACCTGCCAATAGCCCTACAAACTGTCCAAGTCATCCATTGTCACCTGCATTCACTGGGCTTAGTTTGGTCCTATGCAAGTTCCCCAGTTGTCAGTCCAGAGGCAATGAGCTCCTACTAGCTCAGCTCAGCTATTTTTTTGATTTTCCCCATTATGGTCTTGATCCTTTTGCTCATATCATTGCTCTTCTGTCTCTTCCACTGGACTCCAGGAGCTCAGCCCAGTGCTTGACTATAGATCTCTGTGCTTGTTTAAGTCAATTACTGGATGAAGGTTCTATGCTCACAATTATGGTAGTCCTCAATTTGATTATCCTTGTGTATTCCTGGTAATTTCCATTGTGCCCCATTTCTTCTTAATCTGATAATGGTCCTCTCTATCAAAATATGTCTTTCCTTTCTCTCCCTCTCTGTTCTTCCCCCAACTCAATCAGCCCATTCCTTCATGTTCTACTACTGTCTCTTCTCCTCTCCTTCATTCTCCATTCCACCATCCCTACCAAGCTCCCAATTTTCTCAGGGGATCTTGTCTATATCCACTTCCTAGGGTGATCCATGTATGTCCATCTTTGAGTCTCCTTTGTTACCTAGCATCTCTGGGGTTGTGGACAGTATTCTGGTTAAACTTTGCTTTATGTCTAATATCTACTTATGAGTGAGTACATACCATATTTGTCTTTCTGGGTATTGGTTACCTCTCTTGGGATTTTTCTTCTAATTTTGTGCATTTGCCTACAAATTTCAAGATTTTTACTGCTGAGTAGTACTCCATTGTGTATATGTACCACATTTTTTGATCCATTCTTCAGCTGAGGGACATCTAGGTTGTATGCAGTTTCTGGCTATTATGAATTTTGCAGCTGTGAACACAGCTGAACAAATGTCCTTGCGGTAAGGGTGTGCATCCTTTGGTTATGTGTCCAAGAGTGGTATTGCTGGGTCATGAGGTAGATTGATTCCCAATTTTCTGAGAAACAACCACTCCCACAAGCAATGGAGGAGTATTCCCTTTACTCTACACCCTATTTATCTGTCATCTGTGCTTTTAATCTTAACTATTCTGATACTTCTACGATGGCATCTCTGAGTTGTTTTTATTTGCATCTGTCTGATGGCTAAGGATGTTTAACAATTGTTAAGTGTCTTTCAGCCATTTGAGTTTCTCCTGTTTAGAATTCTATAAGCTAGATATTTTAATTGAATGATCTTGAGCAAGATGCCTAAATATTTTTAGCCTAATCTTTCTGGTTTGAGAACACACACTAGTAATATTTCATCATCCTTATTATTAGTGAAAGGTATGTCATATCTTTATAAACATCACTGTTTATGTTTTATATAAATACATCTGGCATTATTATTCAAATAATTTAAAAATACCTAAGAAGAATTTACACAATTTACCACAGTTATCTTCAAACTCAGTCAGCTATTACCATTATATTTGCAAAGGTAAGACTCATTATGTTACTAATAATTTCAGAAAACATTTTTGGAGCTTTCAAGACAAGATTTCTCTGTGTAGCTTTTGTAGACCAGGCTAGTCTTGAACTCACAGAGATTCACCTGCCTCTGCATCCCAAGTGCTGGGACTAAAGGTGTTCACTACCATTGCCTGGCTCAGGAAACTTCTTAACAGTAACTAATTCTAAAAGATCTTCAAACAGGTCTGTAGGAGTAAATATAGCAAAACTGCAGTCTGATTGACATCACTAAGGAAGAAGGAACAGATCAGGCAGATGCTCACCAGGAATCTTTGTTCCCTGCTTGGCAACTCCATGCAGGTCATAGATGAAGCAACCTCCTTTAGCTTCCCAAAGCTCCCTGCTGGTACAAAATCCCCATTCTCCTGTTTCGTGTCATGGGATCATGGAGATAAAATTTCTCTCAGGGACCCTACCTTAGCTGAGTTCTTTGGTCTTTGTATTTCAGATGTCAGAGGAGACACGCACAGGGATCCATGAGCAGGTATGGGAAGACTCAAACAATTTCTGAATTCTTTCTCTTAAGTCACCCATTATGGAATGTGAGTTCTGAGGGAGAGACAATTTATCTATGCATCATTGTTAATATTGCAGAGGAGGAAACATTTATGTTGATGCAAGGAGACTAATTACATGTTGAACCTACACAAGTGTGAGTTTTACATTATTAGTAATAATGTGAAGCATGTTGAATGGATAAATAGTAAACTTCTTAAAGATCATGTGTTCACAGCAAATAATGCTATCAGTAGAGATAATAATGCCTTTTAATTTGAAGCTTAAAAGGAACATTAAGTATTATTACTTAATAGCCAGTTTGTAATAAGCCTGAGCTATTGGCACAGTATTCATAATTAATATAAAGTCTCTGTCAGTTATTTGGAAACTGGCAGGAAAGAAAGAAAAGTCTGACTACATTTTCATTATTGTTTTCTTCTTTTACTAACTATATTTTGCAAGTATTAAACATTTCACACATATATATCAAGTAATCACTATAAATGTACTCTCTAGTATGCACAGTGATTCATCTTTTGCCTATATTTATATACATTAATCTCAGGTTAGCATGAAAATGGCATAGTAATTGAGACAGCTTATTTTGTTTTCTGACAATGCTAGGGGCTGGAAGTTCATAGCTAGGGAATTACATGATGGGCTCTGGGTCAATCTATCTCACTACTGTTCCTATAGCTATGTTCTTACTCATTACACATATACTTCTATTGGAATTTGCTTGTGAAAAGTCAGGCAGAGGTCTCTCTCCTTCTCTCTGTCTCTGTGTGTGTGTCTCTCTCTCTGTCTTTCTCTCCCTTTCCCCCCTCTGTGTGTGTGGGGGGAGGTGTGTGTGTGTGTGTGTGCTTGATTTAATTGATTTTCTGGAACAGGGTTTCATGTGACTGTGGATCCCACAGACCTTGAACTCCTGAAGCTTCTGTTTGGACTTTCTTAGTAGTGTGTTTGAAGTTTTGTGACTTGCGGCTTATGAAAAGTCAATTTAACCTTAAGTTCCTTGTGAAATGCAAATATACACATTAAGTTACAATGGAGGCAGAGTTTTACGCATATGAATATACAGTGTAACAGTTCAATCTATAGACCCATATATTATGTTTATAAAAGTTCATTTATTATCTATAATTTGTAATTAGTATTAGCTATTATCTCTCTACCATTTTTCACCTGAATATTATATCATAACAGAGTGTCATCTAAATGTTCCAGTTTCCATAAAAACATTTAAATGTAAATAGTAGTCAATTAATTTATGCCATTAGTATATATTTTGTTGTAAAACTTTGCAGCTTCATTTTATGCATTTATAAAGGTTATCAATGTACAGTTAATATTTAGATGTGTTAGGTAGGCTAAAAATTATTCTATGATATATTACTGTGGTAAGGACAGAAAGTAAAAATAATTGAGGTTAGAGAGGAAAAAGATATTTGAACCAGATATCAGGATAAGGATGAACCACCAACTGAAATGAGACTATAGTAGAAAGTGGAATGAAAGAGATGATCCAAGATTAAATAGTCCTTCTTTTGTTCCTTACTTCCTTCCTCCCTCCCTCCTTCCCTCTTTCCCTGTCTCTGTCTCTCTCTGGGTCTCTGTCTCTCTGTCTCTCTCTGTCTCTGTCTCTCTCTGTCTCTCTGTCTCTGTCTCTCTGTCTCTGTCTCTGTCTCTGTCTCTGTCTCTGTCTCTCTCTCTCTCTCTCTCTCTCTCTCTCTCTCTCTCTCTCTCTCTCTCTCTCTCTCTCTCGGCAAAGTCTCATGTAGCCCAGACTGGCCTCCTGGCCTCCAACTTGTTATATAGTGAAAGCTGACCTTGAGCTCCTGGCCCTTATCTCTTCTTTCCAAGAGCTAGGATGACAAACACATACACCCAAACAGAACTCTTAGGTAATGTTCTGGAAGGAGTAAACTAATTTATGTAAGTTTTCTTATTATTAATTTATATTTTCCCTCAATATATGTTTTTATTTAAATTAGAAACATGCATGCTTCACATGTCAATCCCAGCTCCCTCTCCCAATCTTCCTCCCTTGTACCTCCACCAGTCACCCCTCCATTTCCCAGCCCAATCCCCACATCATTCCCCAGGGAGGGTGAGGCCCTCCTTGGGGGAATATCCAGAGTCTGTCATTTCATCCAGGGCAGGACCTAGGCCCTTTCACATGTGTCCAGGATGAGAGAGCATCCCTTCATGTGGAATGGGCTCCCAAAATTCATTAGTATCCCATGGTGAACACTGATCTACTACCCAAGGCCCCAGAGATATCTGAGGCCTCCTCACTGACATTGCATTCATGGAATCTGAATCAAGTCCCCTGTTGGCCGAAAAAGGGAGAGCTCTTGAACCACAGACTGATGGCTGAGATGCCAACAGGGGACTGATCCAGACTCCACGAAATTATACTTGTTTTAAAGAAGAAGTTACTTATATCATCACCTTGTATTTACCTATGTGTATTAAAATATAACACCATATATAAAGTCAATGATCAGATTTACTTTTGAAGCTATATAATAACATGTTCTCTGTGGTCAGGCCTCAGAAATACTATGTGGCTACTTCTATCTAGCTATTATCTCTGTCATTGTCCATCTTAATATAACAACAAGGGTGTCATCTATACTTCCAGTTTCCAGAGAAATTGTTTAAATGTAAATAGCATTTACATTTAATAGGAAAATATAAGAATCATTTTTTGAGATTTTATGTGATATATATATAGACACACACTATGTGCAGGCATAATTGTTTTCCAGATACTGGCTATTGGACCCAGGAAATCTAGCAGAATGTGCAAACAATTCCCAGGGGAGACACTACATTTTATATGACTTAAGATTAACAGATTCTAAATTTCCAGTACAAAAGTTGTAGGGAACCAAGTAAATCAGTAAGGATAACCAAAAGCTTAGATGCTTCTATAGGAATCCCAGTCAAACTCTGAATTTAGATGGTGAACAGCTGTGATGAGTTCTCAAATTCCCACAAAAAGCTAGTTTTCTTATCTTGAGCTTACAGTATAATCTGCTGAATGAAAATACCATTTCTGTTAAATGTTCTTATTTTTACTTGCCTTGGCTTTACAAATGGAATAGGAAGAATAATGACGTTATACAGTCACTAGTAATCTATTAACACAAGAGAGTGTCTGTGTCCCATTGCATTTTAGGTTGCAGGCAGAATTAAGGTTGCTGATATCTGATATAAAGCTACAGAAGTATGGTGGTTTGAAAATATATGCTCCTCAGAAGGAGTGGCACTGTTAGGTGGTATGACTTTGTTGGGGGAAGGTATGGCCTTGTTGGAGGAAATGTGTTTCTGTGGGGGTGGGCTTTGAGGTCACCTATGCTCAAACTGCACATAGTGAGACATTCATTTCCTTTTTCCTGTGGATCAAGATGTAGGATTCCCAGCTTCTTCTCGAGCAACCTGCTATGTCCTCCGTGATGATAATAGACTAAACCTCTGAAACTGTGAGAAACCCCAGTTAAATGTTTTCCTTTATAAGAGTTGCCATGGCCATAGTGTCTCATCATAAAAGTAGAAAACCTAACCAAACATAGGAGATAATCCTTCAAAAGCAATCTTCCAAAACTCTCAATGAACAACAACAAAAAAGGAGTTAGAACAATATGTGAGTGTTGAGGAAGGTACAGAGTCAGCATGAATGGTTTGAGATGGAAGTTGTGGGCCTCTAGACTTCTGTAAGAAGCCGGAGGTGGAATCCCAATTAAGAATCAAAACAGGAACAGTTACTGCAGTACTTTTAGTCCACTGAGACATGCATTGGACTCCTGACCTACAAACAAAAGGATGATGATTTATATTGTTTAAGCTACTAAATTTGTAATAGAAATAAGGATAGTTTTCCTAGTAATATTCTCATACTGCCCTTCTCTCTTAAATTTTCATTGTATGAAATCTTCACTTCTCGCTAAGAAGGGAAATCTTCAGTTAATATTTATTCTTTGCAACTGATCATCAGATAATGGACACCAAAATTATATTAATTTTATACATCAGGAAATGAAAACATTATGAGTTTATAAAATGAACAATCAGACAAATTAGCATCATTTAATTGAAAACTTCAACAACTGAGCAAAAGTGTGACTAAGAGTCAGATGTTCACACAGATCTTCTTCATTGTGAACAAAAATGTTTACAGAAAAACCTAAAGTGACCCCAGGAAATACCATGGTTGGTTAGAGTACTGAAGTTACCTTAAGATTCTCAGCTTCTTGCTGCAAATATGTGTTCTTAAATAATGATGTAGTTTGTCCATTTCCCTAGTGTTAGAATTTGTTCTATAAGGATTTGTAGTAGAAATGCAGGGTTCCAACAATATTCTAATAGAATTAAGATATTGAGCTGTGATAAATAAGTAATACTATTCAAGGGAAATTAAAATCAACTGGAATTAATGTGTGAGAAATGTATTGTTACCTGATCTACCCTGTTTTCTTTGTCTCCCAAGTAGGAAGAAAGGCCATGTTCAAAGTCAGGATTTGTGACATTCTGTGCAAATTAGAGGCCTCAACTCTCCTTGAATAGCTCTGAGCTTATTGATGCTTGGGCCATCTTGTTCTTAAGATACTCACCTGTCTCTCCTACTTGTGAGAATTAACAAGGACTTGAGCAGAATCCCTAGCTGAAGAATTTTTCTTGCACAAGGAGTAATGGAGTACTAGAATTGACAGTATTCCTAGATGTGCAGTGAAGCCATCCAGAGGACAGAGCAGTTTGTACCTTATGCTCCAAGCCTGGTTGCTGTTATGCAAACTACTCAATCTACCAGTCATGCAAGCTGCATTAATCTCACTGCCAGCTCACCTGTGGACATAATTCAGACACTGCAGATGCTCAGAAAACTTGCCAAACCCACACTTAAAGTTTCTGTCACAGTATCAATATAACAGTCATTGCTCAAAAGGTCTCTAAGGTAAGAACATGAATATTTTCTCCCAAAAGAACTTAAATCTTTCTACTTTGAAAAATAAATGACTTCTGAATTGATTTCTGGTGATTTATCTTTGGCTGAAAATTAAGATTTTCATATTTATTGAACACAAAGTTTCAATATTCAGCTCAGTAAAATGTTTCTCTTGCATGTGCAGTTTGAATAAAAAATGTTTCATAAATCATGGAGTGATACACAGAAAGGGAGATGATACAACAATTATACTAGGTAGCAGCTAGTAAGATTTATCCAACCCTCATGAAATATGTGTCCAGGGAAAAGACAAAAAATATGCACCCTGGGTAGAGCAGTCACTCATATTTATACCACAAAGTTATGAATGGCTGTCTTCCCGCTTGTGCAAAAATATTGTTAGCAGAGTAGAAGCAGTATGGATAAGCATTCATTGATGACTGGGAAGGCAAGGAAATGAAAAGTGAAATGGATGGCTTAATTAGCATGTCTCACCTGTCCTGTAATGAAAGAAATGCAGTACATTGTTTTGATAAAAATTCCTAACATTTGTATTTGTCTCTGTTGTCCTGTCCTAGAGACTTGGAGTAAGTTTGTTCTTCAGCCCCCTGACTAAGAACCTACAGAACAGATAGCTGGTACTTCTCTCTGTTCTGTGCTAGTTGTATAGGTTAGGACTTCAGGATTTGCCAGTGGCATGGGTAAACGCCTTTAATCCAAGCATTCAGGAAGTAGACACAGGCAGATCTCTGTGAGTTTGAGACCAGCCTAGTCTACAAGAGCTAGTTTCAGGAAAGCCTCCAAAGCCAGAGATAAACCCTGTTTCACAACAAAACAAAACAAACAAAAAACATCAAAACAAAACAAAAAATCCAAACAAACAAAGAAACAAAGGACTTCAGGATTCATCTAAATCACATCTGTATGACCTAACAGGGCAATGGACAAATGGACTAAAGGATGCACTGAACACATTTACATTAAGCCTTTAGCCTCTCACTTTCTATATTCAGTTTCTAGAGGTCTAGAATTTCATATGTTCTATTTATCATCTAAGTTTACTGCTTTAATTTCCTGGACTAGACCAGCATCATCCTTGGCATGGACAATAAATACATCCTTTTTCTGACTGTATTATCCATGTTTTTATCCACATAGACTGCTTGTAGGTTCATTGGATATGAAGCATATCTGTAAACCCAACAATCCGTAGGCACAGTAAGGAGACTATGTCTCAAAACCAAGACAAATAAGGCAAATAACAAACACAAAATAGCCTTGAACACACTGTTATAACTTTAGCAAATACATGCCCTATGACTTACAATCCCCACAATTAGGCATCTGCATTATTTTTCTCCATATTAGAAAATTGAAAGACCAAAAGATGACATTATTAATGAGTTTTTCAGTAAAATAGACACCATTAAGTTGTGTCTTTGGTGAAATGTAGAACATGTTTGCTGTATTTCTAAAAACACATTATAGGGTCCACCCTGGTATCTCCAAATCTTCCATGCTTGTCTCTTCTGGACCTGCTGTATGGATCAGGTACTCTCCAGCTCTGTTTCAAAAGTAATATTTGTATCAAGTTTCTCCTTCTACGGTATCATTTTTTTCTGTTAGTGTAGTTTGTTAACTCCTCTCTTCCAGATGCCCAAGTTATCATCATTGTGCTTTATACAACATGAGTTGTTGGTTATTTTTTAAATTATCTATTTAAAATTTGATTTATACAATATATTTTGATAATTTTATTTCACCTCCCCCAACCTCTCCTGGCTCCTACTCTCCTCCCTTCCCACTTAACTTTGTCTTCTTTCTTAATGTCTCTCAACTCCAAGAAGAAACAACCCGTTAACATAAAGAAAAATATCAAAACAGATAAATGATCAGAAAAAAATGAAAAAAAGCAACAAGAAAAAAAGTACTTCACACATAACACAAAGTGACCAAAAAGATGGAATTTTTGTGTTGATTAGCTGCTCCTGGGCATAGGAAATACCTGGAGTGTGATTAATACCCCAACAACACTCTTTTGTAGAAAATTGATTTCCCCTTTCCTGATAAGTATAAATTACTAATAGGGTAAATTATACCTTTAGGGGTGGGATATTGTGTTTACTTCCCTTTATCAGTGCTGAGAGACTGGTTTGAAACTGTATAGGTCTTGTGAATGCTACCATAGTCTCAGTGAGTTCATGTGTGAATCAGTCCTGCTGTGTTTGGAATACAGTTTCCTTGGAGTCATTAACAACCTACGGCCCTTACAATCTTTCTGCCCCCTCTTCCACATAGATTCTAGAGTCCTGAAGAGAAGGGTTTGATGAAAACCTTCCATGTAGGCCAAATGTTCCAAAATCTCTCACTCTCTACCCATTGTTCAGTTGTGGTTTTCTGTTAATTACCATCAACTACAGGAAACTTGGCTGAGGAAGGATAAGCCATGCTTTTGTCTGGCTTCCAGAGTAGTGTGGCAACTGTCAGGAATTTTCATTCTAGTGTTTCTAGTCTTGCTACAGACAACATCAGGACTCACTGGGCAGAGAGACTCTATGTTGCAACTCTATCACAGCAATAGGGTAGCACAAGTCTGTTACAATTACATTTGAAAGTTAAAGCTTGAGCATAGAAATTTATTTTCCTAACCTTAGAACAACTAATACTCAGGAATTAGACAGAGAACTATGTTAGTATAGAATATCAAACTGTGTTGATAGAGAGGAAAGAAGGAGGAAAGGAAGGTTAGAGAGACAGTCAGACAGAGAAACTGACTGATGGACAGAGACTAACGGTAAAATTCCTATTTCCCTTGCTTGTTTCCCCTCCTATATTGTAATTTCCCCATATCAATGGGCATCACCCAATGCTTCACAAACACTGTACAGGAATCTAAACCGAACATTTCCAACTCACATTCTAGCCTGCTATCAACAACCACAGAACAGACAAAATAGTATACTGCAGTGCAAAGCCAAGCAGTTCTAATCTTAATGGTATTAGAACCCCTGCATCCTGAATGAGTTTGCTTTGGTGCTTCTACTTTTCATGGAAGTGTGCATGCATGTTGGGGATGGTGGACATGATTAAATCCTTTCAGGACAGTTGATTCGGGAAGGGCAGGAAACGTGTGCATTGTTATAATGTTCAGCAGTATTTAAGGCTTATCAAATCTTTCAGAGATTTCTAATGGAAGTTGAAAGTCAGTGCCCCATGACTTTGAAGTGACTGTACAGCTTCTGATGTGCCATCATCTGAAATTTTCATATAATAATCCAGAGGGAAATAAAAGGTTAGAAAATGTGCTGTGTGAGAAAGTGAAAGCTTTCTGTAAAGGCAGGGTACCAAACATTGAAAATTAGTGTTTCTTCTGCAGTATGTTAAGAGGACCTCAAAGGAGAAGCTTTCATAACTAATTTTGTTTGAGGGGGTAGTTTTTACTGTGTTTCATATTTTACCTATAAAAGACAAAAACAAAGAAAAAATAAAGAAACATCTAACATATTATGGAAAAAAACAAAATGAAAACTTTAACAGTAATGTTTCTAGCAGCATTTTACTACAGAAAAATCTGCAGGAGTATCAAAAAATACATCTTTGTTCATCTTCCATTAAGTTGTTTAGAAAGTACATGATGTTAGTCAAATACCATATTCTCCTTATACTAAGTGTCTGTTCTCTTTCTATTAAACAGAAGTCTTTTCAGGACACACTTATACAAGGATTGAAAAGTATACTATGATATTTGTCCCGTACTAAATAAAACTTTATGTGAGTGTATTCACCTCAATTTATATAAAAAACATTAGTATCCTTAATGCTTACTTACAATCATACATCACTTATTCCCGATTTAAACAGTCATTCATTATTGCACAGTGTAAACTCTTGTCAAAAATTTACTGTTTGTACTATTTTATTGGAAAACATGACTCAGCTCACATATTTCCATTAAATGACCTCCCCTTTCCCTAAGCATTTATAAATTTGATACATTTCTATTCATATAATTTTTTCTTCAATTAAACTTCTATGTATTCCCTCTTTTAGGTTGATACATCCCTCTGTACCTGTCGATTAGTCGTAATAAAGTATGTTTTACTCTGGAAATTTTCTTGTGAGTTTCTGAGTCTAAGTCCTTTGTAGACCCTTTGGTGTGTTTATCTAATGTGCACAGAATTCATAGGGATGTGGGTTCTATATTATCTTCCATACTGTGAACAATGTAACGGAAGGACAAATACGCACAGTAGGTCTCCACCACCAGAAGAGAAGGAATCAAAGAGATAGGATAGAAAGGCATCTTTATTTCCAGTTCATTTGTTTCCTCAATTATCTTCACTTTTCCTGACTTTTCTGCAGATAATAACATGATTTTAATGTAGTTTTGATTTTTTCCAAAGAAAGGAATAACATTGTCCATATCTAAATTGTTACATGCATACATGTCAAATGTAAACAAAGTGCTCGGTGTATCCTAAAATATGTACCTCATGCTGCAGTGGAAAGCTGAAGCAATCTTTCTATTCAGGTAAATAATAATTCTAGTAATTTAAGACTCTTTTATTGAGAAAAATCAATCACTCAACCCTGAAGTTGAGATCCACAGCTTGAAGAACATAACCTGAAAATCTGCTCTGCATATCAATAATCACAAATCCAATTTAACATTGAAACTTGTATTAGTACATTGTACAGAGTTACTCTCACAATGAACAGTATTGTTAGCATCCTCTGAACACCATGGATTGCATGTTCTTTCATACAACCTAGAACTATCTCCCTGGAAATGGTATCATCTACATTGGGGTAGGCACTCAAACATCAATTAACAATTAAGAAAACAAACCTGCTCTGGGTAATCCCACTGCTGAGATATTCTTATCAGGTAGCTCTAGACTGTGTCAAATGGACAGATTTATTAGATACTCCAGGTTTTCTGCAATTTCTTCTATTAACTTTATATAGAAATTCAAATAATGTATTCAATGCTGATAAAATTTTAACATAATAAAATGTAAAAAATCTCAAATAAAAATATAAGTTTCATACCAAGACATGCTGAAATTAACACAGGCAAGAAGAACATATAATAACAATAGAATGTGTCCATGGTTCTCAACTGCTGTTTTATTGCATTATGCAACTTTGCATGACCAATATGTCCAAATACACATGAGCACTCACAATCTTAAGACTATAAAGTTTCTTATAAATTTGTTTCCTGAAAACAATACTAGAATATATTAATATATTTGCATTCTGACAGTATTATAAGGATTACATTATCTAACACAGTAGCTTTATTATCATTTAGGAGAAAATTTGAATTTGATATAGAAACTGGAAGCTTGAAAATGGTCTTAGGATAAAACTTAAAATTGTGCATAATTTTAACGTAAAAAAAGCTACCTTGTTGTGGTGAAGTGCCAAAAGTGAACACAAAGAAAATCCAGGAGAGACCAAAATCTCCCCTGTTAACTTCTAGGATGCTTACTTCCTGGTTACTATTTGCAACAGGCCATCTGCAAAAAACAAACAAAAGCACAGAAATCATGAAATGTTCCCATCTGTAGCCAACCAAACAAAAATGTTGACAAACAAGTTACACTACCAAAAGTTCCCCTAATTGTTAACAAATGTCAACCAATCAGAAAACAACCCATACCTTTCCCCACCTACTGATTTAACCCTGTGGTTTTTGACTTTGAATACCCCAGCAGTAGACAAGGAAGGCACCTCTTCTGGTGGCTGCTGAATCAGCTAACTAGACAGAGTCCCTACCAAGGTTAGTTAGAGCAATACATCTTGCTTTTGAAGTTCAGTGAGTGTCTCCCTGGTGGTCTTTGCATAACAGTGTATAACAGTGGAATGGATTTGTTTCCTAAACATTTCATATCTAATCAAATCAATGGGCTCCTATAATGCTAAAAACAGGGAACCCACTGTTAACTGTGTTACAGCGAAATCCCAGATGCAAAATCATTTTGGAAGCCACCTTCATTTAATGAAATCAGCATTTTTAAAAGCTCTAGACAGAACAATTAATCTTTCATGAGTAATGGCAATATTTTCAAACAAATTGTTAAATGAAATATTTAGCATTTGTGAATATGACAGCTTTGCAGTCAACTGAAGTTTATTCTTATATTTTTAATTTAAATTAGAAGTTGCTTCACATTTCAATCCCAGCTCCTTCTCCTTCCCCTCCTCCTTTGCCCACCACCACCCCCTAACCGTCCCACCCAATCCCCACTCTGCTTTCCAGGAAGTGTGAGGCCCTCAATTAGGAATCTCCAAAGGCTGTCATGTCATCCCGGCCAGGGCCTAGGCCCACCCAATGTGTCTAGGCTGAGAAAGCATCCCTCCACATGGAATGGGCTCCCAAAATCCATTCGTATGCCAGGGATAAATACTGATCTACTACCCAAGCTCCCATAGATTACTGAGGCCGCCTCACTGATACCCAAATTGAGGGGGTCTGGATCAGTCTCATGCTGGCCTCTCAGCCATCAGTCTAGGGTCCTTGAGCTCCACCTTGTTAAAATCAGATGTTTCTTTGGGTTTCACCAGCCCGGTCTTGACTCCTTTGCTCATCATTCCTCCCCATCTGCAACGGGGTTCCATGAGTTCAGTTCAGTGTTTAGCTGTGGTATGTCTGCCTCTAGGATGGCAGTCGTTAATTTCATTATCAGGGAAGGGCATTTAAGGTAGCCTTTCCACTATTGCTTAGCAGTTGGTCATCCTTGTAGATCTCTGGAAATCTCACTAGTACCAGATCTCCCCTCAAACCTATAGTGACTTCCTCTCTTATGGTATCTCTCATCCTGCTATCCTTTATTCTTCCCCGGACTCAAACTCCCTGCTCTCCCATGTGCTCCTCTCCCCTCCTCTTCTCACTTTCTCCACCCCCATGTTCCCAATCATCTCAGGAGTTCCTGTCCCATTCCCCTTCAAAGGCACCCCCTCTCCAGGTGGGTGGGAGCTGGATTAGCACAGTGCTGTCAGCAGGCTTGTGGTTGCTTGGTTAGCCAGGGGTGAGTCAAACTGACTGAAATCCCAGGCCAGGAGATCCCAGAGTGGGCAATCAGAAGTGGGGCCCAAAGAGTGGCCTGGAGCTTACCACTGCATCGAGTAGGGGCAGGAGTGGCCCAGCAATCTTAGAAGGATCATGGTTGCTTGGTCCGCTGGTGTGAGTCAACCTGCATGCAGTCCCTAGCCCAGAAGACCTCCTGAAGTTTATTCTAATGGTAGATTTATATTTCCATTCTTATGGAAGAAAAGCAATGATTTATCTTGTTCTAAACCTTGGTTTCATCTCTCTTAGCTGTAAAATAAATGTTGATAGCTATGAAAATCAGACTTATAGAAACCTTATACACAACTAGGAAGACAATGTTCAGGAGCCAGCTGCTTCCCTGTGGTGGTGATGGGGATTTCTATCACACTCCAAAGCTTCAGGACTTAGAGATGAAGAGTTCCTTCTCCCTGGCCATGGGAGGGAACTCTAGTTGCTAAGGAAATATATATACCATAGCTTTCTTTTGTGCTAAAATGTGATAAAACACTGTCCAAAGCAACTGGGAGAAAAAATGATTCCTCTGTTGCAACACGGTAAGTAAAAGACCCAGAGTCTGATATTGGGGTTCAAGCTTCAAGATGAATAAAGACTCTAGATATCCCCTATGTGGAAGGAAATGGCGATAGGGTGGGAGGCTGAGGGGGATAGTAGGGGGTACAGGAGTAGGGGATGGAGAGGAAACTAGGATTGACATCTAAAACATGCTATTTAAAATTAAAATAATAAAAAAGAAAAGAAAAGCAGCTGGCCACTAGCTTCTAACTTCTGTCTCAGGTTGAATGGGCTGATTCTGTCTCCACGAGCTCTCACCAAGCCTCAAACTGTAAAATTTCCTCAGTGTGGCTGGACACTGAATGCTTCTCTGAGACATTGCTTCTGTCTTATATACATCCCTAATGTTAAGATGAAATGTGTGAGCTATAATTCTCTTTCAGACTCTTCACTCTTGAGTAGATCAGGGTGACCTTGTATTCACAGAGATCTCTTAATCCTGAGTACAAGGAACTCAAGTGAGGAACCCATGTGCAGGAATTAAAGCAGAGACCACTGATGTACTCTTACTGGCTTGATTCCAGGTTCAGTTTAGCCACCTTTCCTACAGAGTCCAGGCCCAAATGCATAGGGATGGCACTGGGCATAGTAGGTTGGGCATCCAAATATCAATTGACGAATAGGAAAATGGCTCACAGCCATGTACACTCTGATCACTCTGTGGTCAACATTTCCTCTTAATGGCACATGTACAGCCTCACATTATTTTGTTTCCTGAGAGGTCCTATGTGAGCATAAATTTGTTTGTATTTGGAGCATCCAACTTATAGGTAGTTAATGTCCATTATGGTTCTTTTTTTAATTCACTATTCTTCTAATCCTTCAAAACTGAACACACTTGTTATGTGACAGACACTTAATTTAGAGATCCTCTTTCTAATGATGAATGGGTGACAATACATTATTCAAAATAATTGTTAAATATTCCCCTGAAGAACTGTAATTAATAGCACTAGAGAATAATAGAAAGCATGAAGAGCTTTGCAAATGTGTAAAAAGAGGGATGTCAGCTAACAGAGATTAGAGAATGTACCTAGGCAGGATATTGGCATAAATTACAGCTCTTCAATCATTATGTGCAATTTGACCTTTACATGGAGAACTTTGCAACCTGAAAGATCCTTTGCTTGAGTTCCCATTTTTTATTTTCCTGGACAGCACCTGTCTTTGTTTATATTTGAGAGCCCTGAAAGTCTAGGCAAGTGCTTCACTTCTGAGCTTCTCCTTATCTCTGTCTTTTGCCCTTTTAATAAAAACCTTATTCTACTGGAGTGATATCATATCTGGTGTGGTTGTTGTTTGCATTTCCACACTTCTTAATGATGATAAGCCTTTTTATACCGCTGTTGATCTCTTCTTTAAGAAAAGTCTACATTAGTACTCCTTCCTTCTTCCCTCTCTCTCCCTCTGTCTCACTATCTCTCTTTCCTCTCTTTCTTTGTGGTGCATGCATATGCACACACGTGTGTTGAGTTCA